CATGAAGAGCAGCCAGAAACTCCTGAACACTCAGATGGACGAAGCAGAACACCTTGTCCTGGTACAGTCCTCTCTCCTCTCTAAAGATCTGAGTGAACACTCCTGAGTACACTGAGGCTGCTTTGATATCGATGCCACACTCTGTCAAGTCGGATTCATAGAAGATCAGGTGGCCTTTCTGCAGCTGATCAAAGGCCAGTTTTCCCAGTGACTCGATCATCTTCCTGCTCTCTGGACTCCAGTGTGGATCCGTCTCAGCTCCTCCATCGTACTTGACCTTTTTCACTTTGGACTGAACCACCAGGAAATGGATGTACATCTCAGTCAGGGTCTTGGGCAGCATTCCTCTCTCTCTGGTCTTCAACACCTCCTCGAGAACTGAAGCAGTGATCCAGCAGAAGACTGGGATGTGGCACATGATGTTGAGGCTTCGTGAGGTCTTGATGTGAGAGATGATCCTGCTGGCCTGCTTCTTATCTCTGAACCTCTTCCGGAAGTACTCCTCCTTCTGGGGGTCAGTGAACCCTCTGACCTCTGTCACCATGCCAACACACTCAGGAGGGATCTGATTGGCTGCTGCAGGTCGTGTGGTTATCCAGAGGCAAGCAGAGGGAAGCAGCTTCCCACTGATGAGGTTTGTGAGGAGCACATCCACTGAGGCCGACTCTGTGACATCAGTCAGGACCTCATTGTTGTGGAAGTCCAGAGGAAGTCGACACTCATCCAGACCGTCAAAGATGAACACAACCTGGAACTCTTCAAACCTGCAGATTCCTGCTGCTTTGGTTTCAAAGAAGAAGTGATGAACAAGTCCCACCAAGCTGAACTTCTTCTCTCTCAGCACATTCAGCTCTCGGAAGGTGAATGGAAACGTGAACTGCATGTCCTGGTTGTTTTTGTCTTCAGCCCAGTCCAGAGTGAACTTCTGTGTTAAGACTGTTTTCCCAATGCCAGCCACTCCCTTAGTCATCACTGTTCTGATTGGTTCTTCTCCTCCAGCTGAGGCTTTGAAGAGGTCTTCTTGTCTGATGGTTGTTTCTGGTCTGGCTGGTTTCCTGGATGCTGTTTCAATTTGTCCGACCTCATGTTCTTGATTGACCCCTGCAGTCCCCCCCTCTGTGATGTAGAGCTCTGTGTAGATCTCATTCAGAAGGGTTGGGTTTCCTGCTTTAGCGATCCCCTCAAACACACACTGGAACTTCTTCTTCAGGTTGGATTTGAGTTCACGCTGACAAACTGCAGCAAGAAGTCCTGAATGAACAAAGAGGATCAAAGAGTCAAAGAATAGATTTAAACATGTCCTTTCCTCAAATAATGACTCTATGAATATATTCTGTCCATCTCTTGAGACATTAGTGAAGGTCTCATTTATCAGCATGGTAAGTCTGTAGAGAAATCCTCTTACTGCTCTGCAGACAGTCAGCCAGCTCCTCCTGCTTCATTCTCCTCAGGAAGTGCACTGAGATCTTCACAAATGCCTCTCTGCTCCTCCTCTGCTCTTCATCCTCACCATCCAGCACCTCCTCATCCTCCCTCTGACTCTCTAAGCATTCTGGGTAATCTGAACTCACAACCTTCTGGATCTTCTTCAGCTCCTTCTTCACAAAAGCGAGGATGTTCTCCTCCAGCAGCTGGAACAGAACATTCTATGAATGACACAAACTAAAACCATGGAAGTCACAATCAGGTCCATGTTGGACAGACTGACAATCCACTGGTCTACAACGTACAGCATGGAGATGTTGGTGAACTGAGAGATGTAAAAGTAGTTGTACATGTACACACCATGAAGATGGAGTCCAGGTGTGTTTGATGCTGCTGGGCAGACTGATCTGTGGGAACCTCTGAGCTCTCCTGGTCCTCTCTGTGGAGGAACATGAACCATCAGCTCACATGGTGTTTGTACCATCAACACCAATACAACAGTTAGTTGAAGATATCAGTTCTTATCTGTTTTTAGTTCTTACTGTGGGTCATGAAAACAACGTCTCTAGACTCTGCACCTGATACAAAGTCTTATGAAACTACTCCAAACCTCTTTAGTCCGTCCCCTGACCTCTAGAAGTCTCCTTAGATCTTCTGAAACTAATCTTTGGACCTTCTAACAGAGTCTACTGACCAGAGTTTCTGTAAACCTCTGCATGTCCAGAGACCATGTCAGCTGGTCCACAGAGCACTGAATTTATTCTAATCACATGTTCAGACCCAGTCATCGGTCTCCAGAAATCTGCAGCTATCTCAAGATGTGACCTCTTCTGATCCTGATGTGGAGGAACTAGCTGACATTGTGTACAGTTAATGATTCACACTTAAACACATACAGACCAGTTAGATAAAGACAATGAATATTGTCATGATTTTCGTCATGGAAACACTTTTTAAACAATGCACGACCAATTTGCAATTCATAACTAAGAAAGAGAGTAATTTGTCATCAGAACTTACTCTGGGTCATAAGAACGGCATCCATCTTTGAAGTTAATCAGATGATTAATAGACTGATCACTCTTAATGGACACACATCTGGGTTCAGGAGACTTTCCTCTCTGCTGATGTGAACTGAAAGAAACACTGAGATTACATCATCACATCATCATTTAATCATGAAGCATCAGCCACATGGTGTCCGTCCTCACAGAGACCAAAACAAGGTAAAGGTCTATGAAGTGATGTCTGGATGTGGACCACATGACTCCCTGTAGTGGTTTAGGTCTACTGGTCCTGCTGGTCCCACTGAGAATCAACAGCTCAGTCTTTCAGCTCACTGTTTTCTTCACCAGTCAGTTTGGTTTAGTCCCAACAGGTCTCACCAAGTCATCCATGGAGTTCTCCCTCCCTCACTGGACACTGCTGAAGGGCCCTGGAGCAAGAAACCCAGAACCTCCACCAGAGAGTCTGATAGAAACACCTCATCATCAGCCTGAGACCCTCACCTTGTATTAACAGAAGGACGGCCATCTTTGAAGAGTATTCGAGCATCCATAGACAGGTTACTCTTCATGGACACACAGCTGGGTTCAGGTCCTGGTCGCTGATTGATCCTGGTCACACATGTAGGCAAGGCAAGGCAAGGCAATTTTATTTGTATAGCGCTTTTCATACACAAGGCAGACTCAAAGTGCTTCACATGATAACATTTCATACAATAAAGTGAAATAAAATGCAGGAATTAAAAGACAATAAAAACAGCAAATAAAATTATAAATTAAAATCTTATTTAAATTGTTTAATTAAAGGCAGAGGTTAAAAGTGCAATGTAGATAAAATTTAGCAGAAGCCAAAGCTGAACATAAAAGTTTTCAGTCTTGTTTTAAACGTGGTCAGAGTTGGGGCAAGTCTTAAATCTTCAGGAAGTTTATTCCAGCTGTTTGTTGCGTAGTAACTAAATGATGCTTTCCCATGATTTGTATTTACTCTGAGAATCACTAACAGATTGGTGTCAGAAGATCTTAGTGATCTTGAAGGCTTATGTAGTGGAAGCATATCAGTGATATACTTTGGCCCTAAACCATGTAGTGATTTATATGTGAGTAGTAGGATTTTGAAATTAATTCTCTGACATACTGGGAGCCAATGTAAGGATTTAAGAATTTGTGTAATGTGCGCACATTTTTTGGTCTTTGTTAGAACTCTTGCAGCAGCGTTCTGAACAAGCTGGAGCTTTTTTGGGAGATCTGCAAGGAGACCATTACAATAGTCTAGCCTACTAGTTATAAAGGCATGTACAAGTGTTTCTAAGTCTTGAGCTGACATGAGCCCTCTAAGTCGGGCTACATTTTTGAGGTGGTAGTAGGCCGATTTTATTACTGATTTGATGTGACTCTCCAAGTGTAAATCTGAATCCATAACAACCCCCAGATTTCTGGCTTTATTTGATGTTTTCAGGGACAGAGAGTGAAGGTGTTGGGTTACTTTAAACCTTTCTTTTTTAGCACCAAATACAATGATCTCAGTTTTGTCTTCATTTAGTTGTAGGAAATTTTGACACATCCAGTCTTTGATTTGCTCTATGCACTGGCACAGAAGATCTATGGGGCGATAGTCGTTTGGTGATAGCGCTACATAGATTTGGGTGTCATCAGCGTAGCAATGGTGGTCAATTTTTTTTTTTCTGCATGATTTGTCCTAGTGGGAGCATGTAGATGTTGAATAAAGTCGGCCCTAAGATCGAACCTTGGGGGACTCCACACGTTACGTCGGTTGTTTCTGATATGAAGTCACCAATGGAAACAAAATAGTTCCTGTCTTGTAGATACGACCTGAACCAGCTTAAGACTGTGCCTGAGAGCCCCACCCAGTTTCCAACCTGTCCAAAGGTATTGAGTGGTCGACAGTATCAAATGCAGCACTGAGGCCTAATAGCATTAATATTGAAGTTTTGCCAGAGTCTGTGTTAAGACGGATGTCATTTACAACTTTAATAAGGGCCGTCTCGGTGCTATAAAGAGGTCGAAATCCTGACTGGAAATTGTCGTGGCAGCCAGTTGAAGCCAGGAAGTGATTAAGTTGTAGGACAACTTTCTCAATTATTTTACTTATGAAAATTAGATTTGAAATTGGTCTGTAGTTGTTGATAATAGAGGCATCTAGGCTCCGCTTTTTTAGGAGAGGTTTAATAACTGCAGTTTTGAAAGCTTTTGGGAAATGGCCTGTCTGAATAGAGTTATTAACTATTTGCAATACGTCTGTTGCTAGGCAGTCAAAAACATTCTTAAAGAAGTTGGTAGGTAGAGCATCAAGACACCAGGTAGATGGTTTTAAATTTGTCACCGTTTCCACTAGAGTTTGAGAGTCTATGGCATTAAAGCTTGTCATCATTGCTGTGTTACTTTTGCCTAAATAGGGTGGTGATCCAACATTTTTGTTTGAGATATTAATGGCGCGTCTGATGGCTTCAATTTTATCAGTATAAAAGAACGCAAATGTAGGACCAGAGTCAGTGAGTCAAAGACGTTCGGACATGGAGAAGAGTGGAGGACAGTTGGAGATGGTCCTCTCACCTCTGAGCTGTGGTCTGGCTGTCATGTTCCCCACACAGAGGGGCTTCAGAGGGAGGGACTCCCTCCTCTGGGTCCTCACCCTGATTCATAGCAGAGTCCACACCTTCACACCTCCACACCAACCTGCTGGGAGAGCTCACACATTATTTACCTTCATCAGGACAAACACACAGAGCTCATTCGCCTCAATACTAAAACTATCATGGGACACTTTCTGTATCGTTGTCGTCTATCTGTTAAAGTTTAGACTTCTGGAGAAAGACAAACTTTCTTTTTACCTTCTTCAAACCTTGTTAACATGTCAAGAGACTTCATTTTAAATGCTCATCCTGTAAATGTAGTGTTTAACAAGATGAATATTATCAGTCATCTTCCAGCAGATGGAGCTGTGCTGTCACTGTAATGTAATGTAATTTAGCTGACGCTTTTATCCAAAGCGACTTACATTGCATTTTTAACCAATGTTTTTTTTACATTCTAACCCAGCGAGCAATTAGGGGATAGGTTTTGCTCAGGGACACTTCAGGGCTCAAACCGCCAACCTTGCGTTTCCCGATGGACCTTCACTATCCATGCGCCACCGTCGACCTTGATCTCTGTCAGAGTCCAGAAGTCAGTAAAACACAGACCAGTAAGATGACATGTAGCTGTCCTGATAGGAAACACTGTGGTTACCATGGTAACATGGGAAAGCTTTCTCCTGATGGGATGGTTCACCTCACCATGTGATCAGTTAGTAAAAGGTCGACTACAACCTGGTGATCAATGAGAGAAGAACTGAACACTAAAGAAAACACAAACACATTCAAACACTCTAAAAAGTGACTAAATGTGTTTAAAGCAGATGAAGAAATGAACATGAAGCTTTGTGGACTTAAAGGACTGAATCAGCAGGTGAGAACAAACACAGCGTCTCTCAGGTGTGTTTCAGGAACAAAGGCCCAGGTGAGCTCTGTTGTCCCTGCTGGGTCCTAGTGCCCCCCCTGACTGCTACCTTCCCCTCCTCATCAGTAACAGTCGTCACAGACCCCAGATCAGACTGAGCTCCTCTTCTTCATCAGTGTCATCATTCAGACTAACAGCAGCTTCTCTCTGCCTGCTCACATCATCGCCTTGTATTCCAGCTTTAAACAATCACACGTTCACAACCATCAATGATGTCATTCAACCAATCACAGCTCCACTTACTGAACTTACTGTAGACATGAAGTTCCTCAGTGAGCAGCTCTCTTCTGTCCTCAGCAGGTCGGTGTAGAAATGGAGCTCCGTGCTTCACTTCAACTTCCATCAGACGCAGTGAAGTGTTTGCTGAAGTGCTTGTTGTTCTTCATCAGAGAGGGTGTGTCCTCACGTCACCATCAAAGTATGCAGTCCGACTGGTTGACTGAGTTTCAGTCTGAGCTGTGCTCACAGGGTCAAAGGTCCTCGTGAACAGAATCCTCCTCACTGCTCAAACAAGAGTATTTCTGGAGATATTGTATATCCCAATCCAACAAAAATCCAACATTGTCTTAAAAAGATACATGGTTTTATTTAACAAATATTCTGCTTCAATCATCTTTGAGACTGTTTCTCAACCGGCAAGTTCTGGACTCCTTTTGACTTCTTTGTTCCCTCCTTACAGGCCAACAGAAGCCCACTGAGCTCCTTCACCTGCAGGAAGCAGGTCTCCAGGTGACTTGTGAAGTGAGCATGTGAGCCATAACGATAACTATCGATAATGTAGTTTGTGTCTCCACAAGTTGCACTTGTCAGCGCTCGTCCAGCTCAGGACACGTGTGGCAGCAGCGTGCTGAGACCTGCAGAGTGGCAGCGAGCGTCTTTGGCTGCTGACACACATCAGCTCCTCTTCTACTGTTAATGTGGTCAATGTGATCGATAAAATCCAGATTTATCACTTTTGTAAATCTGGAGGAAGAATCCAGGTAGTTTTCAGAGGTAGCGATGTCTTCAGTACTGTAACCTACGGTAGATGCTGCAGTTGATGTTGTGTGAACATGAGTGTAGAGTGTTTGTGGGTCCGTGTCCACGGCTAAGAAGCTGAAATCAGATGGAGTCAGCGAACACGAGGCTTCAATATGACCCAACACAACTTCCTGTCTGAAGTTACCTGACCACAGCACTGTTGGGAGTTGAACCCTGGACATCCAGTTTGCCAGAGAAGCACTTTCATTAACCAACTAGACCACAGCAAACAAGATGTTTAATGATTATATGTTGAATAAACCGGATATCTTAGACATGCCAACAGTTGGTCAAAAGATTTTCATCCAATGAACCGAATTATTAATTTGGTTGAAAATGAATGAAGAAGGTTTTAAAGAAAAAGAGTCACTGTGTAAGTATATGGGTGAAGAAGACAAGACTTCTTCTCCATGTTACTGCTCCGCACATGTAGGAACATCATGGTTGAACAACAATCCTCAAGGCATTGATGCAGGTGAGACAAGCACTTTAACCAACTATTTTTAGAGATTTTTAGAGATATTCTGATATTGGGTTTCAAATGTTTCTTCATGAACCAATGTAATAAAGTTGTTCGTATCCCAGGAGTGTTTGATCATTTCTGTTCTAGATACAAACCATCTTGTGTGTTTGTTCCTCCACCAAGAGGTTTTTTGTGACCCTTTGGATTTAAAATATCTAGTGTAGTTTTTAACCTGAGCCTCATTGGGTGAATGATGATGAATGATATATCCTAGTTTCCCTGTAGATTAAAACACTACTCACATTACTTGGATTTGCTTTTGTCTGTAAGAACTCTTGTTTCTGTTATTACAGGCGCTTGAAGATGATCTCAAGTACAGTGTCCAAAGTGATAGTATGGAGATGTTGTGGCTGTGCCTGTAAGATAAACAAGAGATCCTGTGTTCAAATCTCTCCAATGCCTGAATAGAACATCTCGATCTATGAAATGAACGTTCACCTGTCATGCTTATGTGAAGCATGTGACACGATAAACACAGAAACCCCTCAAGTGAGAGCACAGCCTGCTGCGTTAAAGCTCCCTTCAGCTATTAGCTCTTCCTTATTCACTTTGGGAGCACACACACACACACACACACACACACACACACACACACACACACACACACACACACTCTGTGTCATTGAAGACCTAATAGTTGTTGTGCACTGCGTTCTAACACACTGGAGTCATTTTTGAGCTCTTGTCAAGAGACTACTGCTAAAAGGTTATTTTTAGCTATTCAATTATTTCAAACATGTTATTGATGCATGCGGCCTGACGCTCCAGGCTGGTCGCTGCCAGTCAACGTGACTACTTCTGCATTCCTGGTCTAATGTGACTACTTCTGCATTCCTGGTCTAGCGTGACAACGTTTCTCAAAGCCATCGGGAAGGAAGAATAAAAGTCTTCAAAGTCAATGTTGTCTATTTGTTTTCAACAACTAAGGCTGTCACAATATCAAATATTTGTTGTGTGATTATTTTATTTTTATTATATTATATATATTTATTTTCATGCCACTACAGACATAATGACAATATAATAGCATAATAACATAAGTATACGCTCTTTCAAAGCACAAAGAACGTTTTATTCGTCAGAATATTTAGACATTAGAAAAGATATATCCTAAATAATAAAACATATAAATAACAAGTGCACGGGAACACGGAGCGGGTGAAGCATCGGCTTGGTGCGGCAGGAGACGCAGCGTCCGTAGAGGCGAACGAGCCGTCCGGAGGAACCGACAGTAGTTCAGGTTGAAGCATAGTTGCGGCCCCCTCACATCTCCTGCTCCACCCGAAGCCTCAGGCGGTGCAGGTCAGCGGCCGTCAGCCCCCCCAGAGGAAGCAGTAGGACTCTCCCATCGGCCTGTACTCAGAGGACGCTCTGAGGGAGGTGGGGGGCCGGTCGGTCTGCCGGGTACGTAGAGACGGAGAGGAGGAGTCAACACGGCGGGAATGAGGACTGTTTGAATAACGTCGTACAGGTGAGATTCGTAGTCGTTTCTTCACTCGGCCTCATCACTAAACGAGGATCTTAACAAGGATTAAACAGACTAAACCCCACAGGTTCATTCGTGAGCTTCAGGGTCCTTTCACTCTGCCTCATCGGGTCCAGACCTCCTGACTTTCCTGGAACAGAATCATTTCATTTAACTGGTTGTTTGCTTTTCTCCTCCTCTGAGATCACTGCTCCTTTTAGCAGCCTCGTCATGTGGACCAACATGTCACACTGGAGACTCTGCAGGGACAACGATTCCACACTGATTAGAGATTAATAACCGACTCCTCTAGAACCTCTGCTGACCTTTAACCCCAAACAGAAGGAGACAAGTGGACTCATCAGGACATTCGTGGATCAATTCTCTCAAAAACAAAACATGGGCTGAACCTAAATGCAACTCAGGAATCAGGAAACCTTTATTGCCATAATATATGAGACATACAAGGAATTTGACTTGGCGGTTGGTGCGTAACAGCGGACAGTACGACAATGGACGACAAGACAACAGTGTATGAGGAATAAAATAAAATATAAGGCTATGGGTTAGAGCTCTGTTAATGAGCCCGACTGCCGATGACGGGAAGAAACTGTTGGTGTGGCGGGAGGTCTTAGTCCTGATGGACCTCAGCCTCCTGCCAGACGGAAGCACAAACAGTCCTTATTCACTTTGGGTATTAATGTGCTATCATATTGTCATTATGTCAGCGGTGATATAAAAATGTCTGGAAATGGCAATAATATCGTTCATCGCCATTAATGTTGGTGCAATAATCACACAACAAAGATCTGATATAGTGACAGCCTTAGCTGTTTTTGACTTTGATCCCATTTCAAGGAACTAAACGCAAATAGACAACTTTGACTTTGAAGACTTTTATTCTTTCCCGATTGCTTTGAAAAACATAGTCCGGGAATGCAGAAGTAGTCAGGCTAGACCAGGAATGCAGGACTAGTCACGTTGACTGGCAGCGTCAGGCCGCATGCATCAACAACGTGTTTGAAGTACCTTTTAGCAGTAGTCTCTTGAAACGTACGCTAGACCAGTTTTTGTCCGGGGTG